ACAGACACAAACACACAGAGACCTAACATCCCACCAGAAAACAAGGCAGGAAGTGCTTTTCTTCTCACTGGAAACAAATTGTAAGTGATGGACCCAGAAATCCTGAGACTTTGGAAGATCATTTGGGGGAATTTCACCTAATTAGATTTTCTGCCCGATCATTTAGGAACATTGCTATAAACAGAAGTTGCTGTGTACATCAGTGCACTGGCATCCTGCCCTGGGATGATGATGACTGTGTCAGCAGTGCTCATATGTAAAGTATTTATATGTATATATATTTTCATGTTGTGTGTAGTGTGGTGGTGGCGGAGGGACATCCTACCGTGTGACTTTCATTCTCGTGTCAAAGTCGAGGTTTCTCATCGACTGGGTCACCTCCACACTGCCCATGTACTTAAAAACAGAAGAAAACACCAGTTATTCAGATGTAATATGATTCATCTAGAAACAGTCATGATAAAAGTCTTAACTGATCTCAGACAGAGTGCAGATTTACATTAGGCACTGTTTCCGTCCTGCTCCGCCTTAATTTAAGTGTCCCCACGGGACTGAAAGATAAATCTGACAGACTGAGAGAGAATTAACAGAAAAGGAAAAAGAAAAAAAATACAGTGTAGTAGACATGAGTGACCTCTTTTCTTATTTATTCTGCAGCCTGCAGTGTGATTTACATCCAAATAACTTTCCCTCCTCGCTCTTATAAAATGTACATTGAAGTGAAGAGGAAAATGACTCTGTCGTAGAGTTCATGACCCAGATTTAACATTTTGACTTCAAGCGATAAAAAGGCAAAAGGTCTGGAAACCTCATTGTACTGTAGGTTTCTACTCCCTGAACAAAAAACTGTCTCAAGAGAGGATGATGATACAAAGTTGGAAAATCAGTGATTTATTGTGTAATTTGTAGAATTTAATTTTGCAGAATAAACGTAATACAAACTTTTCACCTTTGGCTTTGATCTATCCGGCTCTATGCAGATGACAGTTAACTGTACATCACGTCTTTTCTGAATAAAACTTTGTGTCATGCTTCTTCTGGGCACTAGTCATTGGCTGTCGTAGCCAATAAAATCAGTAAAAACACTGCGGCTCGTTGAGAATCCAGCTCCTTTAGTCAAAGAGGCTAAAGCTACTGATGCTAGCGAGTGAGACCTCAATGTGATCATCTGTATGCTCCAAAGCGATGCTAGTATTCCTGTCATAAGCCCGCTAACATGCTGGAAATGATGAGTAGCAGGTGTAATGTTCATCACCTTTTTCACTAAACCCCCACTAACACCAGCTAACATCTGGCTTTTGTTTTCAAAGGGATTGGATTCAGCTCCCCGGTCAAATGACTGTCGTTAGATTTTCAGGTTGTACGTCCAAGAAACTAGACGGAAAATGAAGCCAACGGTTGTTACAATTTTTTATGAGGAATGTAACACTTTTATTTTCACTCCCATTTTTCACGAGGTAAAAGTCGTAGTAAAAGCTTAATTTGTTTAAATCTGTTAGTGAGCACTTCACCTTTGCTCAAATATTTCCAAGCCTATATAATTTACAGAATAAGAAAACTTTGATTGGCAGATGATGTTTAGTAATGAGGTTTCGTCAAGTCACTAATACAAAATAATACAAAGTTTCAACCTCATGGTGGCGCTAGCAGAGCAGTCAGGACATCACCAATGAGACGACTTATATACAGTATGGTCTTTGAACCAGAATCATGGTCCTAAAAAATAGTTTTGATACTAAAGAGGCGAGGAGGGTGCAGGAGCACTTAACACAAACAGGCATCATTTAGGCCATGTGCTCAGATACGCTCGGCCAGTCACATTTCTAGCTTCAGCAGACTCTAAAGGCTGGAGGCAGGATGAGTAAGTCCATTGATGGAGACCAGACTTAAATCAATACATGTGTGTGTCGGTGGAGTGGCCGTGCAGGAGAGCAGTGTATGTATGTGCGCTTGTTTGTAGAGGACAACCAGACAGTCCGTTCTCATTTCCATCAGTGGTCAGCTCGCAGGGCCCCCGGCTCCTGATCACCCATGCGGACACACCTCCGGTTTCTAGGACGGCATGGGCTCCAGTGATACCGGATACATACACACGCATGCACTCAAATACACACACGCAAGCAAAGCTGATGTAGAGAGGAGCAGAGAGCCAGGATGAGTCACTACTGCCTACACAGGAAGTCAGACATCTGAGAGGGAGGGGGGAATGTACGAAAAGGAGTGTGATAGTGTGAATAGAGCACAGGGAGAGTGTGTGTGAGTGTGWGAGAGTGAGTGAGTGAGTGAGTGTGTGTTGGCACTGGTACCGATAATAGTGTGTGTGTGTGTGTGTGTGTGTGTGTGTGTGTGTGTGTGTGTGTGTGTGTTGGCACTGGTACCGATAATAGTGTGTGTTCCACAACTCTCTGCTGGGACCCTGGATATGACATTAGCTGCACTTTCTTTTATTTGTGAAGTGATGAATCTTTGCACGGACGCATGTTCAACATTTTAGTTACATTCATATTTCTAGTCGAAGCGAAAAGCACAAGGCTTCTTGGGAAAGTAAACTCTTGTGTTGTCCGAGTTGCTGTCTGCTGCACTGTTACTGGTGAGCATGAGGTGATCGGTACCTTGATGTTATGATGAACTGCTCTGTTTGCCGTCCCCACCACTGTACAGTCATCTGCTGCAGAGGGAGTCTTCACACAACACCGACCATCTCTGTGCTGTGGGCAGGGAGGACAGCCGGGGGTCCAGGGGAGGCTGGCCATCCGATGCAGCGTGATGGGTCTTTTTGCGCAAAGCAGGGCTAAGTGACTTTGGCCACTGGATAACGGCACATGAAGGGAGGGTTGGCTACAAATTCTCTGCTCGGGTCCTGATCCCCATTCTGTTCCTGAACAGGGTCTGTCAGCGTGTCCATCAACGGTTCGGTCCCCTGCTGCGTTTCTCTGTCCCCTCAGGCCGGGCAGAGGGAAGGGACTTTGCAGTCGTATGTTGGCCACTCGAGGGATGAAGTCCCTCAGGGTTGACGGCCCGTGGTGTGAGGGTGTCCCGGGGTCCAGTTGAGCAAAATCAGAGTCTAAGGGGAGTTCCCTCTTCAGGGGCGGCATCCTTTGGGGCCGATCCTCTGGAGATGTGAGGGAATCGTTGCGCAGACGACTGTATTTGGTGCGCTTGAGCATGCCTGCGGGAGGTGAAAGTGTCACAATGAAATTGTAATAGCTGCAAAAGAGATGAGCTCCCTGCAAAGAGTCCTGAGTGTGATGTGTACCTGGGTAAGGTTTGCTGTCTCATAATCAAGTAACTGGACAGACGGGAGCACTGGGAAGTAAAAGAGAAGAAAAACCAAAAACCCTGCCAGGAATTAGATGACACACTGTTGTTACACACAGAGGATTTAATGGAGACTGCAGATAAATAAGAAACATAAAATGCAGTTTGATTAATCAGCTGATCACTGGGAGATTATCTGTCCTGAGATTATCTGTCCTGAGATTATCAAACGGGATTCCTACTCACCAGCGTGTGACTGTGGATGTCCTGTGTAGTCTGAAGTCCAGGCTGCTCCCCTCTACGGTCCCATCTCATTCACCCTCTCCGTCAGTCTCCAGGCTTCCAGCTCTGCTTCACCTCCACATCCACTCGTCTTCTCTCCCTCTGAGGCTCAGCAGAGAATTGTGCAGCTTTTGTGAATGAACTTTCTCTTTTTTTATTTTTTTTTATGAATGAGAGGCTCTTGCTCACTTCCTCTGTCTCTCCATGAAGGTGCACGCAGTTGAATGTGTGAATGGAGCGGAGGGGAGATTGACAGATGGCCCCTAACGCTCTCTCCCCCTCCCTCACCCACACATGGCCATCCAATCACAGGCGGGTAGGGTGACTCATGCTGTACACACACACACACGCGCACACACATGCACACGCACACACACTCTTCATAAACTGAAGTAGAGCCAATAGAGTACATGAGCGCTTTAATCCTCTCTTCTAACATCACTTGCACCTCAGAGATGCTGTTGAAGTGGGTTATTAATACATTACTAGCTTTGCTTCACCCTCAAAATAATGTTTCCTGTTAATTTCAGAGATTTAGTGACAGTAGGAGAGTGAACCCAACGCATGTAATATTCAAATGACCTGAAAGAGCACAAGAGGAAGGGATTTAACTGAGACATTTGCATTTCCCCATGATTTATCAGAGCAGTATAACTGACGCCAAGCAAAGTGTTTCACATCCTGCACTTATTCTTGATTAAAATATTATCTTCCATCCACAAAAAGGAGGGAGGGTGTACTAGAAGATACATTTTTCACAAATATAACTCAGCATGAATAAGTATTACTGGATTCTTCTCCACAAGAACGTAATTACAGGTAACTTGACGTAAATAAGACAATAAGATATCAGTGCATTACAATTCTGTGCAGCAGAGCTTTGTCACTTCCTTGTGGTCGTTCAGTAAAACTGCAATCTGGGCCTGAAATAATTCATTTTAGGATCAATTAATCTTAAACCTATTTTCTCCATTAAGCAGCGTTACCATGGTTACCTCCGCCATGGAGGTTGTGTTTTCATCTGCGTTGGTTTGTTTGTTTGCAGGATTACGCAAAGACTCCCAGACAGATTGACACAGAACTTGGTAGAAACATGCAGTATGGGTCAGAGAAGAACCCATTACATTCTGGTGTGGATCCAGATAAGGAGTCAGATCCACTTTTTATAGTTTGGTTTTGTTGACATTTTCCTCAAATTTCATGATAATTCATGGATCTTGAAGACAGATTTTAAAGGGGGACAGTGATTTAATCAAATTACTTGTTTTATGAAAAGTCCAAAACAGAAAAACACACAATTTACTCTCTGAGACAAAGCAACAGCTTCAAAACCTCACATTTCATTTTTTTCATTGAAATGAGACTAAAATATATTTTTTTGTTTCAGCTTTAGTGAAACCTGATTTCTGAACCTGCTGAATGAAACTCACGAGTGAACAAAGCACGAGGCATCAATCTGGTGATGTACTGAAACAGACATTTTAATGATGTTAATCACCTGTTCATATAGATTAAGAGCGATAACAGGATTATGGGAAACAGCCTCTAACAATGTTGGTAGTGATGTACAGTCTGAAGAAGAGACGGCCTTAAATATCCATATAAAGACGAGGGACACGCTGAAAAAAGTACTTCATTGAACCGTTTTTTTTTTGTTGTCTGTTTTTGTTGTTCACATTAGTTACAAGACCTTAACCAGTACTATATTTACATAGTGCAAAAAACACACTTGCTGTCAATTAACATACTTCAAACACTGTGATGGAAGTCATGGCAACAAAAAGCCTACACACAGCGTACTTTGAATCAAACCAGAAATACTTTCATAATCCCAAGTATGACATTCAGTACACCTTCATCTCCTATCTCAGGCTTCACATTGCATACAGCCCATCATACTGCATTTACACGGCGCACCATCATAGACAGGTTTTAATCTCACCACGATTCACTATCAAATACCTTTATCAGATTGGATTCCAACTCTTAAAATGTTAAAACTATCAAATGGCTTTAAGAACAGGACGACTGTATTTTTTTCTTGATACAATGCAAAATCAAAATCTCTTTTGTACACTTGTATTTACAAGGGTTTATGCATGTGCATGACTGTGGGGTGACTTGCTTGACACTGGTGACTCTGCCCTGAGGAGAGAGCGTCTCAGCTGTGGCGACATGATTTAATACTGGAGGTTTGAGCCGGGTGCCGACAAAATCTGAGTGTGAGTCCATAGAGCTCTCCAAGGATTCACTGCACTTTTAACCAGACATGTCAGATTTTACAGGCTTGGGCACTTGTAAACTTCATCAAGATGATTAAACACAAGCTTGTCCTTTAGGTTAATTTGATTTATGTGTTAGTTTTTCCCACTACTTTCATAATGCTGTTAATGCCTCAAGTGAGCAACTTAAATACAAACTGCATTTTTATCAAAACATTTGCAATTTCTTTCTTTGACTTAAAAAGATCCACTTGTCCTTGAAGGGTTGCAGGAGGAGCCAATCCCATGTGACTTTGAGCAAGAGGCAGCGTACACCCACATGCAAACTCCACACAGAGCGGCCCCGGATAAACTGGGGAGAACCTTCCTGCTGTGAGGAGGCAGTGCTTAACACTGACGTGCCACCAGTGATGAATCAGGTAAGGTTGGTGAGAGGCAGCTTGAGAGCTCCGCCCTAATCAGACAACAATCACCACCACAGGGAAGATAATTTTTTTTATGAAGCACAGACAGCATGTAGGAACTGAGGACAATCCCAGTCAGAGGAAACAAACGCCAAACAGCTTCACAATTAGCAAATCAATGACACACCATTACACACTGTAGTAGAACCACTGAGACGAGGTTATATATACACAAAGCTTGTTTCGCCTCTTGGAAGTTAAGTCAGTTGAATCATCTGAATACAGAACGGAACAAATTAATTTGAACGTAAAAAAAAAAGAAACACTCTCAGAAGACTGATGGGTGGGAGTGGTTTTGGTAGAAAGACAGAACCCCTGACACTATAATGTTCTGTGAGGAAGATTAAATACCAACCAAGCAAAGATACAGGCTACATCCATACGACAACGTTTAAGTTTGAAAAGGACGTTTTCAAGCTAAAAGGATCTCTGTCCACACAAACCTTTTGGCTCTGTAAACAGTTTTAATCCCTGTCCATGCTAACATGCCTGAAAACGCATATGACATCACCACTCACTCACACTGGGCACGCCCTTGCCAGAGTAATCAGGAATCCACGACCGTCGTAATGTGTAAAATGAAGCACAACCGACTTAGCAAAGACAACATGTAACATGTAATTGATTATCAATGTTGCTAATGCCGGTTGTTTTTTTCTACAAGGGGGTCATGTGATAGAAGCCTAAGGAATCAGCAAAAGCTACGTTGTGGCAGAAATGAGCCAATCTGCGTCATTGTCTCCAGTGGAGTTTTCTAAAACAAAGACAGCAGCATTTCCAAACCTCTGTATTAGCGGCTCTAGAATGCCAGAGCAGTGTGGGTGCCAGGTGGATCTGTAGCAGGGATGAGTTTCAAACGATAATGTCGTGGTATGGATGTAGCTTAAGAAAAGCACGTCTCTCCTGCCCTCAGTGACGAGAGGAAAACAAGTTATTTACACGAATAAAACTAATAAACACAGCAAACTACATGTGTACGTACACACACACACACACACACACACACACACACACACACACACACACACTTGCAGAGCTGTAAACCTCTGTTTAAAGTAAGATGGGAGCTGAAAGGTTCCAACCTTCCTTCTCTGTGAGCTACTGACAGCAACATTTTTAGCGCTCATCACTTGCTCCCAGAAAAGTCCTCGGCTCTAAAAGAGTTCAGTTAGAGAGGAGGAGAATCAAAAGCTTCTCTCTGTTTCAAGTGTAGCAGGTTATGGGCAGAATAAATGTCACTACTATCCTTCAAAATGTGTTGGTTGTTGGTTGGTCTGCGAGCCTGTGTGTTTGTAAGTTGGTCGGTTTCTCCGTAACACGTTAACAAGCTGCGTGTGAGTGTTGGTCAGTTGGTTGGATACCTGAGATTATGTCTAGTGTCAGGGGTTAGAGACAGAGGAGAAAAGCTGCTGGTTGCTGTGAAGAGGGATGTGTGAGAGCCAGAGGACAGAGCGAATGACTGTATGTAAGAAAAGAGGGAGGAGGAGGACAAGCGGTTTCAGCCAGTGACCTTCTTAGCCTCCACTTGCTCTTTGTCCTCCGACGTCGTCTCTGTGATGTCTGCTGAGTCGAGGTCCTCCTCATCCTCACTCTGCCCTCTCTCCTCCTCCTCCTCCTCATCTTCTTCCTCCTCGTCCTCCGTACTTTCCTGGCTCTTTCCCAGCTGCAGGTTTTCCAGGGTCTTTGACACCCAGGATTCGATGCGGCTGCTGAGGGTGGGCACCTCCACAGAAATAGGTTCAGGAGTGTAGTCCTCTTCCTCCTCTTCCTCCTCCTCCGCCTCTTCCAACATCCCAGGGACGAGGGTGGAAGTGGTGGAGGTGATAGAGGAGTTCAGCGGACCCCTGCAGCTTCCATCCAACGAGCCCGTTTCTGTGCTCTGCTGTGAGGCCAGCTCCAGCCGATCGTCCACCCGCACCTCATCTCTCTCACCGGTACCCTGTGTCATAGGCCCTGCCCTGGACTGCGGAGCGGTGGAGGTAGACGGAGCGGCGTTGGCTGTGGCTGCCAGAGGCTCAGTGTCCTTCTGGCCGGCTGTGGGAGGTGCAGGGCGACTCTGCTCAGCCTCAACAGGCTCTGGAGCATCTGAAGTCTCCACCATACTCCTCCAGTTGGTCTCTGCAGAAATGTATACATTTGTTAGGTTCAATTTTCTTATCTCAGCTAAATTACAGTCAGTGGTGGAAGCAAAGGACATGTATTCAAATTCTGTACTTTGGGCAATTTTGAAAAAATTACACTTATTTCCATTTCCTGCTGCTTTATACTTCTAGTCTGCTACATGTCAGAGGGATGAGCTTTTTACACAGCGTATGTCTGACAGCTGTAGTTGCTTATTACTTTTCAGACAAAGGTTTTATATAAAATGTCTAAATTGAATAAAGATTCCAAATAAACCAGAAGTCCAAACTTCAGTGACTAGTTGGGACACATAATCCAATCCATACAATTTTAGTTTATAGTAAATAATTGGAATAATTGATTAAAGATCCCCCTTAAGATCTATGATGTAAAACAGAAATGAGGGAGCTTACCGTACTCCTTTTCATTGACTTCTGAAATAGGCTCGGAGAAGATAGAGCAGAAGGAGATTGCAGAGGCAGCAGAGTGGTTACGGGAATGCCCCATGTGGTGTGGGACTTTCTTGTCATTTTTCAGCGCCTCCTCGGCCTGCTCCTGCTCCAGAGCTGACACCATGTCCTTATAGGCCTTCCTGGCTTCTTCCGTCAGAGACACTAAACGGTTGAAGAGACCCTGAAGGAGGTAGAGGGATTTGATCGAGTTACAAAGAGGCAAAAAATAGAAAAAATAAACTGCATCAGGCTGTAAAAAACTCATAGCTCTTAATAAGTCAGATGTTTTATAAAAGAGGTTTATTATTTCCTCAGAAATCTGTAAAAATGTCAGACAGAGAAAACAACCTCCTCAGTGTATTTTAATAAATAAAAAACAAAAGTTTCTCCAAGGTAGTACATTGGTTCACCAGACGGACAGACAGGCAATTAAGTGGGTGGATGGATGGAAAGCAATTCATCAAAATTATACTTGTAGTGGATGGCATTGCGTTACCTCGGCTCCAGAATAGTTGAAAATGCCAACCACGCTCACAGGCACTAGTTTATTGACACAGCGTCCAAGAGCTTTTCTGCCCAGGGCAAACACAAATGGGATCTCCTGCTCCCGGGCCATGGCAATCACATTGTACAAAGCTTCATCCAAACCACCTGAAACACAGAAAATAATTAGTGACTCAAATGAATTATATTTGAAAAAATCAATGTAGGAAAAAAAACAGCTAATGACTTTGACAGTGAAATTTCTAAAATGGGATAAAGGGCTGCAGAACTTAGCATCTAGTAACATGTGACTGATGAAGCTGGAATGTTGAACAAGCTGCTGCAACTCGCTCAAAAGCTCAGAAAACAAGTCACAGAGAGCTGCAGATTCAGATGAAACGTTTCAGCTTTACACATGTTTACAGCACAGTTGACCAGACCTCAGACAATTTGATCAATAACATGAGCTGGTGCGGTAGATTTGTGACATTTTTCACCTTTGGCCTGGATCTTTTCACAGTTTGGAGAGATGATGACACACTTAATCTTGTGCAACTTCATGTGCTTGGTGACCTCTCGGAGACCCATGACCAGGCGGCGTTTGGATTTGGCCTTGGTGGGATCGTTCTGGTAGACCCGCTCCTGGAAGCGAACCAGCTCCTGTAACAGCAGAGTCACGCTCTCGTCGATCTCCTTACTCAGAACTTGGTTACAGTACCTGTGGAGAAAATAAGATCATGGAGGTATGTAAAACATGTTATGACAGGGTGCCACAGTGTAAGTAATTTATTGGGAAACACCGAACTTCATGTGTTCTGTAGCTCATAATTGTGATTTGTTGATTTTCATCTTCAATAGGTTTTAGGTTTTGTGAGTGTGGGCTCATCAAAACAAGCTATTGAAAGAATCTGCTATTTTAGTTTAGTTTTCATAGACCAATTAAGTAATTGAAAAATAACCATCACTATGATGATGATATATTATGATCATTGTTTTAACTCGATCTTTGTGTCTCACCACATTTATACAGAGTTTACACAGGAAAACAATGTTCCACTATCTTTGTAGTAAATGAAACATTTATCACAATGTTGACATAGAGCGGTCTGAGTGTCCGGCTGCTCAGAGCTGAGGGGCGGTGTTTGGCTACTGAAGCTTTTTGGAGGCTTTAAATGCAAAATCAGTTCGAGAGGGGTGGGCTGGGACAAAAGGCCTACAACAGAGGACACAGAAGGACAAAGCTGTGTTTGTGACCACTGGCATACATTTTTGCTGAGAAGGGACAGTGTGCTAGGCATCCTTGTCGTATGCGACAATTCTTTATTGTACAGTTCCGCCCTTAAAAACACCAGTTAACTTTCAGTGTACGCTACTCACAGCCAAGGCTCTGTGAGTTTTGAGTGGGACAAATATGTGCTTCTCAAACCATTTTTCTGTCACCACATTCTGCATTTTTCAGACTAATGCCAGGGATTCCTACAAAAGGTCTGTCCTATTCAACGTCCTGTTTCTCACTCCAAATGGGATACGAGTGTGAACTTACTCTCTGAAACGTCGACTGTGGATCTTGGTGATCGCATTTGATGCCATGGGACTCCCGATGCCAGAGCTGGCAGGAGAACCCTGGGACACTGGAGTGATGCTGTATGGAGAGTTCTGGCTGGCTGGGGAAAGGGACGCATCACTGGGCACACTCAGACCATTCTCTGTGGTAAAAACAACAGACCATAAATAATTAGAAACCGTTATTGTGGATTAAAAGATATAGGTACGACATGTCTTAATAATGAATCTGCTTCACCTTCTTGGGAGGCAGGCTCTTGTGTAAGATCATCAGTAAAACGGAGACACTCATCTCCATTTTCCTCCTGGCCTGAGGACTCTTGTTCCACACTCGTCTTGCCTTTCTTCCCTTCACGTTCTTTCAAGATAATCTAGAAAATAATCGTACAAAACAGAAGGTAAAAAACAAGACTTCTTAAAAAGCATCTTAATAGCATCATCCTCCCACCGCTCCTACATCTATAACGTCAACTGAAATCATCAACCTTCTTCAGGGCTGTTGGCCGTTTGACTTTGGGAATCTCTCTCTCCTTCCCTCTCTTGATGCGGGGTGCAGTGGAATCCAGGGCATTATGTGGGGCTGAGTATGGCTGCTGGTGACCCTTCAACATGGAGGGCACATTGGTCGAGCCTGAGCTGTGAAATGGAGTGGTGGTTCCAACTGGAGAAAAGGATGATAAAGTTAGCAGAATGTGACTGTGTGCATTTCCAGGCTTCTCTGTGGCAGCGGTAATTCAGGCTATTTTAAGTCACAGTTAGCAAAGTTACTTTACAGACAGTGTATCCAATTATTGTAAATGAATGCAGGGATATAGTATTTTAAAATGTTAAAATCAATCGTTAATGTGTGATAGAGTTTATGAATACCTGTAAAGGACAGTGGTTTGGTGTTGGTGATTTGTTTGGCCTTCACAGCCTGCTGATGTTTCTCCAAAGCTGCCAGCATGTCTCCCAGGTCCAGCTCAACAGAGGTTTTACTCTTCTTCCCTGCTGCTTTGGTGAATGCCTCCTGCCAGGCAAGGAAGGAATTGACAGAACATGTTCACTACCTTGAAACAGTCAAATACAACTGGAGATCAATTCATAGGCCAAGATGGACAGAGAGGAACTGATAAAACAAGGCACAGAAGGCATGCCATGCACAGAAGGCAAGCCATGCATCAGCAGGTCGTAACATTTAAACTGTTAAGTGTGAACCCAACCCTCATGACCAACAGACACAGTGCAGGTAAATACCTGTAGTTTCTTCTGTTCCATGCTGATTTCAGAGTACTCCTGTGCAGTGGCCAAGGCAGCAGCTAGAGCCTTCTTCCTCTGGCTCTTGGCCCTCTTGGGAACAGACGTGGTGATGGGGATGGGTGTTTGCACAATGTTGATAGGGGAGTTTTCTGGTAGGTTATCCAGCTGTGATGCACGTAGAGACAGAAATGAGTGTTTAAAATGGGTCTAGAGGTACCAAGGGTCAATGATTTGACTGACCTGCCTGATTCCATCCACAGTGATCACAATATGCCAGTTCATCACACACCTTGCTACTAATTTCAGAAGGCACCATTTGCAGGGAACAGTACAGTTGCCAGGAGGAGCAGTCAACACAAGTAGTGTTAGTGCTGGCAGCTAATGCTAATTCCAAGCTGTCACTCAAGCTTTTTGATGCTTTACTTAAAAGGGACATGTGCCAATATAGCATTATTAAAAAGAAGTACACCGACTTTAAAACTGAGGTATTACAAAAACCTACTCAGAACAATTTTCGCCTCCTTGGCAATCAGTCAAGAATTATACAGTGGAGCGACGCCCGTGTTTACTTCTGTTGGTTGGGCAGATACATTTCTGTTGTCATACCAATTAAAATATACACACTCTGCAATAGTGTTTCACAGTATACCAATACTAGAAAGGTGCGATACCCAGCCGTTGAAAATGGTACAATAACTAATTTTATTAGTAACAATACTTTATGAATGACGCCCGGGGCACAGTGGCTGCGGAACGGCAGCTCCAAGGAACCACTGTGTGTCACGGTTGTCAGTTGTTCACACTGGCTGCATTTTATACGAGCCGTATATTTCCTGTGGGATTTTTTGAGCATGGATATAATGAGCATAAATGACATTTCATGGTGCTGAAGCTCAAACCTAGGATTAGCCTGCACATTACTGGTAGCCTCACAAACTAAAACCCTCTGCTCTAACAACTTTTATTACCATTATTTT